TCACTGGAAAGCCTGTTAAATTTCCCTTTTAAATGGTGCCACATTTATAAGGAACATGCATCTGTGGGATGAGAGCTGAGTATGTGGGTTGTGCACATGAAAAAAAAGCCAAATCGTTTTTGCCTAACAGCTTATTTTGCTGTTGCCATTAGCCATATTTTCATACAACTGCAAAGCAAATTAAGCGCCAATTTTTAAAATGTTGCAAAAAAGAAGAAGCAAAGAAAAAGAAATGCAAATTAGTTGTGCTTCCATCTACTGGTTTGGAATGATTCAAACTGTAATTTCATCAAGCGTTGATGTTATATGTGGCTGTAATAAACAGGAAATAGAGGTTGCAAACTAGCCGGGTTCACAAATGGGACAATAGAGCAAAGTTTCCAGGAATGTATTGTAACTGAAATTATTCTGTCATATCAACTAGTATAATGTTACATGCTGTCCGAAGACGTAGGGAAAGAAATGCAGTTCTTATGAGAATATCTGTGAAGACGCAGACATCAGAAACTGCTGATCAGTCATGTGAGGTAAACGTTTGCTACATCAGAACATATTTAGCAAATGGGTTTTTATATCTTCTTTTTGCATGCTAAGTATATATAAAAGCTTTTCTGTTTATCCAAGTTAAACATGAACAGTCTACTGTATCTGAAAAAGATGATTACAGCCAGGGCCAGTCCTTGGTATAGGCTGAATAGGCAAATGCTAAGGGAGCTGTCCATCTAGGGGTCGCCACAAATAGGGGACAAAAATATATATATTGCATAACTGTTACCAGTAAATGAAGGGTATATTGTTAGCTATTTCAATTGAACAATCTGGTTGTGAAAAATAAAAAAAATTATATCAAAGACAAAACTATTTAATTGCGTAAATGAGTGTATGTAAATTGTCAGTGAGGTTTAGTAAACAGTACAAGGGGGCACCGCCAAATTTGCTAGGACTGGCCCCGATTATAACAAACAAAAGTTGTAGATCAACCCATAACTGAATGTCCTTTTCTGAATGTCGTGAGTTTAAGCCAACAGATCTTATAAAACAGAAAAATGTTTATAACTGAATCAGTTATACAGATGATAAGCTAATATTTGGTGTTGCAGTAGGCAAGATTGAAACCCAGTACATATTCTGAGCGTTAACATATTGCACATTGCGTTGTTTAAAATGTTGTTAGTAATGTGGAGTCCAATGAAAAAAATCAAAATAATCTTTCACTTAATATTATTAGAATACATTTTCTGAAAGGTTCATTCATACTTTTTCTGCAATAACAACTTTTGGTGTAGCAATTCAAGAAGTCTGTCACAGCTAATGTACATTAGCAAACATAAAAATAGCTGTCTCAGCTAATTTTACAACTATTAAGCTAAAATTTGATACAGTATGAGCTAAGATTCATTCACAATACAAACTTTGATCATGACATCTTGCAGTGTTTTATGAGATTTCACATAATTTTCAATGTTTAGGCAACTACAACTCCATTTCTCAACGTAAGATCTTAGTTGAAAACTCTGGTAGGAGATATGCATTCTGTTTTAAAATTTTGTTTGATGGTTTTCATTGAAAAACCTTAACAAAACTGTTCTCAATTTTAGTGTGATCAGGTTACATAAATATGGTGGGCTTCCACTTAGCTGCTGTGCATGACTATGTAATCAGAGGTGTCCAAGAAAAAAAAGATAAACTATAAAGCAGGGCTATTCAACTAGCGACCCACGGGCCAAATGTGGCCCGTGAGTCACCAAAGTTCTGCCCACCAATTGGTTTATTCATCTCTTAGACCCAAACCCCCGGTTTTCTACTTTAATTACTCTAAGTTATTTTAGTTAAACATAGACATGTTTGGTATCTACAGAAACGTCAGGATCTTGGCTAGAAGCTAACAACCATTTCTATAAAAACTACAGACAGTTAAAACTACAAGCAGTTGAAGATAAAATGATGAAAGTGAAAATAAAATTGATTTATAAAATTGGCAAGTCAGAAATGTCAAAATATTTGTGTCTAATAATAGGAGGCATAATGTGTTCTTTTTGTTTTTGATACTGTGTAATTATCACTTCTTTTATAGGGTTCTGTATGTTGTATTCATGATTAAATGCAGCAAAATAAACTAATTCAGAGGTAACATATCTTTGTAATATTGGGTTATTTACATAATAACTTTAATTGCTGGATTTTCGGCCCCTGAGCTGTTGACCTGCAGTAACTGTGGCCCCCGGAGCAATGCAGTTGAATAGCCCTGCTATAAAGTATAACTTGCACTATGCAGGGAAAGCAACAATGAAACATCATTTTCTGCATCATAAATAATAGTGTCAGCTTGGCCAGCCCCAGAAAATATTTCTGGCTCCATTGATGCTGCATGCAGCTTGCATGTCAACACAACTCTAAGTCACAAGCTTACAGAAAATGAAGCAAATGGCTGCTGTCTCTGCATTATGTGGCACCAGCCTTGGACAGGAAACAAAACGAACCAGAAAAAACAAATAAAAACACGTGCATCTTTGAATGAAAATAACCTTCCAGTCCTGATTTCAAAATCCAAATTCATTTTTTCCATAAGATCTCAGGTGGAAAGTATATATGTATATAGGCACAGAATGCTCAGCTGTCTCAACAAGTCTGTCTTGTAGTCAGGTAGATAAAAAATATAACAGAGCTCATTACAAATATTGTAAATCTGGACCTTGAATGTTTTGGTGTAATGTGAGGATGAACATTTGAGGAATTTTGCTACAAACGCTCATTTTATGTCTGGGTTCAGTGTTGGCAGAAACTGGCTCTGGCAGGGCCAGGGTCAATTCATCCACGATAAAAAAAAATAAAGATTTGACATGTTTACTGTTTACAGCAAACAGTAAAGCTGTGGTTTTCAAGGGCAGCAACATTGTCAATCTGTCAAGATTTTGTTTGTGAGACAGCATTCTGTCATGACTGGACTTTAAGGCAGCCGCTTGTTAGTAACTCAGAACTGACTGAGATACCTGAAAGCCCCGAATCTGTGAACCACTTCAAGTTCCCATCATCAGTCGCAGACAGGAGCTTTTGTAGTGACTGAAATTATGAGATCAAGGACACAAGAAATGAGTTTCGCTCTGCTAACCCTAAAGGGAAACACTTAGGGGGTCAGGCATCTGTTCATAGAGCACTTTATCAGAAATGTCAAACTATTACTATCTGGGGGTCTTCCTTTGCTCTTAAAAGAAAGGTACATTTTTACGGAGTTCATGTCGACATGACTGCATCACATCACTTCTGGAGACCTTTCATCAGCAAAGTCATGGTGCAAAGCTCCCTACATGGTTCTATTTGAAGGGTGGGGTATGTGTATTGAGGTCAGCTGTGTTCTGCTCAGCGTAGTTTAAACAGTGGGTATCTGAGTTATTGTAGACTAGCTGTCAGAACTAACTAGTCTGGCCAATCTCCTCGGAGTCTGTCTTCAACAAGGCAATCCCTCTGCAGAATACTTGTTCAATTTGTTTATACTGTAGTTTTGAGAGCCCAACAAATAATCCCACAAAATGCCAACAAAATGTTCAAAAAATAATGTATTGTTTTTTTTACATTATTTTTTCCCTTGTCTTCTGATATTTGATTAGATGAACTTTTCGTCCCTACCTGCTGCAACACAGTCGGCTGATTGAATGATTATATGCACAAGCAGGTGTACGGGTGCTCTATAACAGATTATGTTGATGCTTTATGCTGCCACTGAGAGAGGAAAGCCTTTAAAACAGCGACGAGACAAATAGTTCTGCCTCAGCCATTTAGCAGCTCTTCAAAGGAACGACAGGGTGCAGCTGAAAACATTCTGATGCTGAGTGCTCCTGACATTTAGTCCAAGATGATACCAGCTATCAGGCTGCGTAACAGTTTTTTAATGAATGCAAGTTAAATAGAGTGAGATAAATAGTTTCAGGTTTTAAAGCTGAAATCTGAAAAGAAAAACAAAAGAGAAAGACAGTTCTGAACATTTTAAGCGAGACTCTTTTTGTGAATACATCACGGTGTTAAGAGTCAAACTTTTAGCTGGTGTTTATGAGAATATAATGAGCATAATATCAAATACTAATCCACATTTTTGGTTTGTAAATAAAGCGATTTAACCACCTTGGTAACTGTTTTTTATGAAAAAAGGTTGATTTAGCTGTGTTTATGTGTCTCTACATGTCTCTGTGATGAAACTTTCACCTAAAACCCACCTCTTAGTGACTCCTGGAAATGGGCACCAGCTTCCCCACATTTCTCCAAGAAAAGAGAATGTGGATGGATTATTTAACTTTCAATACATCCCCATGTAAAAGCTGATTATTACTTTGGTAACATTGCCTCCTTCTGGAGCTTTATGTGATTTTCTTTTCATTTTACTTAAGAGCAGAAAGGTCCAGACAATATATCCAACACACAGTGCAAATGTTTGCATCTCTGTTAAAAAAGAATCAGATTTTCTTTTAAAAAGTCTAGTTTGCTGAGTAAATAGTGATATATAATTTTAATTTTCAGCATTTGCTGCCATGAATTGCAGGTGATTGTGTAATTGCACAATTGTTTGTGTTTTCATGTCTGTCAGCAAAATATCTCATGAAGTTTGTTTTAAATCAATTAACCAGACAAAGATACTTTTTTGCATGCAAACATGCAAGAGAAAACTGGAGTTCCTGGAGAAAACCCACTCCAAAATCTTAAAAAAACAAACAGAAAATAAATGAATTCAGGTATTTGATACACGTTTTGAATGTGTAAAAACAAGCTCTTTGTTACTTTATTACATCTATTTTTTTAAAATGTAACAATCACCATTATTGTATTCATACTGAGTTATCTACAGCAGACTATTTTTATATCTAGCCGTGTAATATGAGATGGCACCGGTAAAACCTCTCTCTCTCTCTCTCTCTCTCTCTCTCTCTCTCTCTCTCTCTCTCTCTCTCTCTCTCTCT